CTGGGTGGTTCCGTCTCCCTGCGGCGAGGGGGAGCGGTCCGGAAGTCCATCCTCAGGAGTGCATGATCTGACCATGACAAGGGCTCTATGACTATCTCCCCCATTTCCAGATCATTTTGCCACTGGCCAGAGACAAAAATCAGATCCAGTGTGTGACCTCCTATGTGAGTGGGTGCATGAACTAATTGGGTCAAGTCCAATTGACCTTGTGATCTGGCAATACCAAACTTTGGGTCATCCACCCGGGTCTGTCCTAGCATGTCAATAGTTGCACATAGAGTTGTTCTCCATTGAGAGGAGGTTGTTTGATCTTGTAGAATATGGGGGGAAATTCTTTTTTATTATTATATCACAAGCTTTTGCTCTAAGCTGAAATAGATGATGGAACTGCACAGGAAGGAATATGTGAAAATTCTCTCCTCCATTCGGCCTACTGAAAATTGGAAAATATATGGAAATTTTCATTAGTTTAATCAATATATCATAACTGGATAACACTCATGAACTACATTACTTTTTTGAATTACAGTGGTTGAAATGCCACTGCTAGACTTTATTCTTTATGATTTTGTCTAGACTTTTAATAATTTTTGCCTACCCTGGTAGCTAATGAAAATTTATGCATATGAGACAATCAATTTAATAATGTTTATATAGTAATCTTAAATGTAGCACCTGAAGGAAAGCCCTCACACCTTTGCTTCTGCTAAAAAATTACTTATTCCAAGTATGTGTGCTTCAGTGATATGCTACTGTTTGTATAGAAATGTTTCCCCATCAGAAAGCAAAGCTCTTTTCTTCTGGTGAACAGATTGAGATACTGTTTTCCTCTGTGCTTGCTAGACATGTCCATGTCCAGCTAGTCATTGGCAAATATAATACTACATAGAGCTATGTGTGTGTATTAAGTCCAAAATATGTGGGCCTAAACAGAGTTATTGCTATCTCAAAGAAATGTGCAAAACAGCCATCTAGCATGTGGTTGGTGCATTGGATTTCATGCACATACAGCACCACATCCAAATATGACTCTTGGGCAAGACGAAGTTGCTTCATATACAAAAAAGGTGTTAGTATGAGAGTGGACATGAAGAGGAAAGCACCCCCTCATTCCTCCATTGGTACTGCATGTATTATGTGTATTTGATCTAGACCAAAGTGTACCCCGCCTTATGGTTTTTGAATTCCTCTGTCCTTGTTTTTGTCTTCTATATTCTAGGTACCCAGAGCAAGGAGCCAAACTGCATTTTATCAGGTACTGGAATATTGCCGCCGGCTTCTTTCCTTAGAATTTGTAATACATTCCTTTAATACAATCGTCCTACTCTCTGCCCCAAACTGAGCTTTATTTTGAATGATTTTATACCAGAGATTCCATACCAGGAGAAAACAGCCAAAAGTCCCTTAAGTAACAGCTTCTGCCTTCTCTGGCTGCTTCTTTTATAGGAGAAATATCAAGCAATGATTTCCCTGCAAAAGTAAAGATACACTCCATCAGCAGGCAGGTTTCATGACAATGATTTCACATATCAGCCCATTCTTGTCTCTTGATTTCCATATTCTGCATTTTCCCTGTTTGTTATATTCAGAGAAAATCTTCATTTGCTAGAGGAAGGCCAAGGCATCCAGCGGGAGGAGCTGGATGAACGTATTGCTAGAGAAGAGTTTCGACGACCGCGTGAGTCCCTATTGAATATATGCACTGAGTTCTACAAACACTGTGGCCCCCGACTGAAGATTTTACAGAACCTGGCTGGAGAGCCCAGGGTGACTTCTTTAGAGCTGCTGGATGTTAAGTCTCATATGAGGTATTATTTTTGAATGTCCGTAAATATTCGACTGTCCATTAGCAATAAGTGTGTATGACAAATATGCACTATAATATACAAAACAGAACTTTAAGTTTCTTTTAATTGTAAGTAGAATAGGATTTTTTTCTTTTCCAAATTATTTCCAGGCAATATCATAAAAAGAGAAAGGGAAATCTGATCTAAACACTTCAAATACTGTAGATACCAAGAAATACAGTAAAATCACAACAGTGGAAAAACTGTTCTGGTGCAAACACCTGCAGTGTCATCCATTAGTTGAAATTTATAATTACAAATCTTGTCACTTCTGTGTGTAAAACTCAGCTAAGTATATTTTCAGGAAATAATTCAGCATGTATTTTTTGTAATTGCAGCGTCAGCCTGGTTGGCGTTTATATTTATGATTTTTCTTATCCTTGAAGACAGATTGTTGGAAGGTTGTTAGGAACATATAATCTGCCACTATGAGATATAGATAATATATTTTTGCAGAAATATATTTAGATATAGAGATGTTTGTTGAAAAAAATAAATAAAGTCAATATGGTTTTCATTTCTGCTGTGTTGATCCTTTCCTTTTCTTTCATAGTTGTAGAAAATAAGTTCCATCAGTCTTGATTCTACCTTCTGGGAAAACTGAGGCTTCTTACCAGTTTCAGAACTCTTTTGCTGATTAAAAATAAAGGGGGTTATTTCTTTCCTTGATTCCATCCATCTTCAGGTTATGCATCTTTAGTCAGCCCTACCTCTGAGTGGAGCTTTCAGTAGCAGTGAACTCTGCATCAGATGAATCTTATTTACAGCATCCCTTAAAAAGCCAGGAGGCCAGGAGACCAACAAGAGCTTAGGTGACTACTCTCTTGTTTGTAAGAAACCTTCAGGCACACAATCCTGCCCTCCTCCAGGTAGACCTTAATTTTACAGAGCTGAGAAATCAAAGAACAGGAATATTTCTGGTGGCAGTGCATCCAGGGATCCAAATACATGGAACATCCAGCTTCTCCCATCCACCATTTTGCAGCATGGGTCTGCCATTCTTTCTGTAAAAGAATAAGAGCTGACCTTGGGGAAGGAAGAAATGAGCTTTTAAGGGAAGACTTGGAGAAGAGATGAGATAGTCCAGAGATTAAAGGAAGTATGAGAAACTCAATGTAACTCTACCTACTTTTGTTTGGTATAAAATGTGACAGAGAGAATCTCTAGCGGGTTTTCAAGATTTTCTTATTATAGCCTACAACAATCAAGTAGCATCCTAAAAGGTCTGTGGTGTTTATTTCTTGACCTGGCCTAAGTTTTCGATTTACTCCTATCTCCATGGAAAAATGAGAACCTCCTCCCTCTCTTTTAGACCAGAGGGGGCAGTCCCAAATGTATTTTTTCAATCTGCTAAGAAAACTCCTGTCCAACAATACAGACAAGAAGGGACCAAACATATTTTGAAAATAAAGAGAAGTGACTATTGCTAGGCCTGAAATTTAGGTTCTTCCCCATTGCTTCTCTTCGTCCTCTTCTTCCTTCTACTCTTGATTCCAGCCAGAGGAATAAGATTAGCAAATTGTGCCATGACCAGAAGAGCAAAAAAATACGAGGATAAAGAGAAAGCCAAAACTTATTCCTTATAGTAATAATGTCCATAGGGAATCTCTCTCTACAGTTGCCACTGCCTCTTCGTATTCCAAAGAGAGACATTGCCTCTGTCTTCCCAAAAAGGGGAAATGAAGATCCTGGGAAAAGGCTGTCATTGATACTTCGGAAGATTGTACTGTAGAGTAGTTATAATGCATATGCATTTCTATTATTAGAATAAGCTTTCTTGAATTGGATAATAGTAGAATATTGCAAGATATATGCTCTGATTAAAATTAACTTCGTGATTCCTTCAGTTTTCCTAAGGGGCAAAAATTCTTCTGTTTTATTAACAGATTAGTGGATAACATTGATTTTGTCTTCTAATACTCAATATATCAGAAATGTCTGAAAATTAGACAAATAGATTTAATTATGTTTAAGATAATACTAAATCACATATATATCATTAAACAATGCAATATAATAAAGCTACGTAAATAGGGATCAATACAACTGCAACACATTAACACTCTTCTTTAAAACTTGGTGCCATTGCACTGCTCTAGTATTTTTCCCCTCCTTTAAATAATAATTTTATACAGTATTGCATGCAATATGTAAAGCTAAGAAATGAATACAGGTAGTCTTCAACTTCTAACCATTCACTTAATGACTGTTTGAACTTATTTGAACTTACAACAGCACTGGAAAAAAAAGTAATTTATTACCATTTTTCACACTTACGACCATTGCAGCATCCCTCGTGGTCACAAGATCAAAATTTGGATGCTTGGCAACCACATGTGTTTATGACAGTTGCACTATCCCAGGGTCATGTGATCACCTTCTGACAAGCAAAGTAAATGGAGAAGCCAGTTTCATTTCAGTGTTACTAACTTAACAACTACAGTGATTCACTTAACAACTGTGGCAAAAAAGGTCATACGGCAAAACTTATTTAACAACTATCTTGCTTAGCAACAGAAATGTTGGGCTCATTTGTGGTTGTAAGTGGAGGACTATCTATAATATAATATGGTTCCTCTGCCTAATAAATCTACCATGTAACAAAATTATTAAGAATGCAGTATGGATATAAGAAATAGCATTATTTACTTAATATGTATTATGTACATATATGCATGATTCATTTAAATAGTTTTACAATTCAGAAAAATACTAAATACAGAAAAATATTTAATAATGTTAAATATTTAATGCCAGACTTCCTTAGCCCATTGTGTCCTCCTGATATGTTGGATATCAAATTCCTATAGTATTTTGCTATCATAGCCTTTAGGTTGCCACATGTCCAGAGTGCATCAGAATGAAAAGGCTGCATCAGATAGTGTGATGAGCAGTTATCTTTTTTGGACTATGTAGCATTTTATTTAATGAAAGTGAGTTTTCCATTAAACAATCTCAAAAGAGCTCCTGTGACAAAATCCAGATTTTCCTCTTAATGAGCAATGGTTTTAGATTGGCAGAGATTGCACATTCCCTTTTGAAGCTGGCACCTTATGATACCCAGACAATGGAGAGCCGAGGGCTCCGACGGTACATCATGGAAATGCTGCCCATCACTGACTGGACTGCTGAAGCAGTGAGGCCTGCCCTTATCCTCATCTTGAAAAGACTGGATCGTATGTTCAATAAAATTCACAAGATGCCTACTTTGAGGTAAGTGTGTTTGTCAGAAAACTATGGGATCTGTTTCTGAATTTGCAAGCCATGAAGAAAGGGTACTATTATTATTATTATTACTATTATTATTACTATTATTATTATTATTATTATTATTATTGTTCACTACACTGAATTCTTACAGTAGATAATTAAAAATATATTCTTCTATTGACATATAGTCCTATGATCATAATAGAAAAACATGGTAGCAGAAATGCACCTTTTGTGAAGAGTCACAAGAATCTAATGTAGATTTTTTTTGCTTCGGTAAATTTTAAAATTATATCAAATGATCCACTGTGATTTTAATTAAAATATATATATACAATAAGTTGTCTCACATCATGAAACCTTTTTTATAAAGACATATGTGTGTACAGATGACAGCTAGGAAACTGTTGTTTATAATAATGTTCCCTGCAGTCTACTTCTATCTCCATGAAACAAGCTTTAAATGAATAATTTTGCTTCCAAAATAATTCTTAAAGGTGTTATGGATAGATGTTTTTATACCATACTGCTCAATTGAGGCCCATATCCATGAGGAGCACAATCAGTAGCCTTCCTTGTAGTTAATTATGTGATCCAAATTCCTAACATGTTTGAGCTATAATAGCTTACTTTCACCTCAGATTCTGCAAAAACACTGGCAAGTTCTTTAGACAGTTCCTACAAAAATATATAGCAGATATATGCTAGAATGACAAACAATTTGGAACAGGTCCCAAAGGTGCTTTTTCAAGAGGCAACTGTACTTTCTTGTTTTTCTTTGAAGATGTTTCGCTTCTCATCCAAGAAGCTTCTTCAGCTCTGATGCAGAGCTCTGATGCAGAGCTGAAGAAGCTTCTTGGATGAGAAGCGAAACATCTTCAAAGAAAAACAAGAAAGTCCAGTTGCCTTTTGAAAAAGCACCTTTGGGACAACCATGACCTGGGTGACTGAGAACCTCCATAGACAACTTGGAACAGGCTATGTAAAATTTAAGGTAGCCTTTGAAATTTGTTTGATGAGATTGAACTAGGCCTATGGAAATGTGCATCACTATATACTTTTTAGACTTTAATGGCTTAGAATCCTGTTTGATGCTCTCTAGGTTTCTTAATTAATTACTGCTTGTAAGCAAATATGAAGAGAATGCATTCTTTGATCTTTATATATTAAGTAAAATAAATAACCTTCTTTTTTCTCATTTTATTTCCTGAAAACCTTTTCATAGGTCAAAATAAACTGTCAACCGAAATAGTTGTATATTCTTGCTTGCTGTCTATCTAATTCTAAATCAGTTTTCCAACCTTTGGAAATTTTAAAATTGTTCATTTCCTCTCTACTTTTAGAAAGTGCTGTCTCATTAGCAGGACAAACTTAATTTATAATTGCCAATTCAGCAAATCTGCTCACTGTAATGATTTTTTTAACATAGGAAAAGACTGAGATATACAAATATTGGCTGGGTGCAGGTCCTGGCTTCATAAAATAGGGCTTAAAAATAAGCATCAGGGGCTGAGTCTTCCTTTTCTCCAGCCTACACAAATTTAAATATGTATGAAGTCTGAGCCCTCTGTGCTTTGGCCAGGATAATCTTGTTTGCAATTTCTTATCACTATTACTTTTCATGGTCAATTCCACATTAATGTTTCTATGAAAGATCCTTGGAGAATGTTAGATTTGTCTGTATTTCCAAGTCTATTAGCAAAACTTTGGCTTTTCCCTATGATCAGCTTGATCTCAGAATAGTAGTTACATGAATGAATTCTGGAAGAAATAAATAGATTTTTGGTACTTCAAATTTCCTGACTTCTTTTTAAGCATTGATATGAGAAGGAATTCAACTATTGGTGAATAGGGCTAGAATTGCAATATAAAAGCAAGTGTAATTATGTTTTCTCTTCATATCACTGGATATGAAACAGCAATATTATCTTGACATTTACCAAATGGAGGGATATTAATTTCTTTGTAGAATATCACAAATACCACATTGATCTCTAAAATTTAAGAATGTTTCCAGAAATGTCCTATGGAGTTTACCACATTATCATCCCTGAAGAAAAGTATTTTGCACCACAATTATACAGTATTCTCAGTCTACTTTCCACTCTAAAATTACCCTGTAGGGTGAATGCATTTTATGATTTTAATCCAGTTATATTCCCATACTCTTGTCTAATCTAGCCTATTGACTATCTGTACCCAACATGTGTACAAGTAGCAAAGAATTTGCTGAATTTTAAGGTAAATATTTCAAAAGTCCGTAGGATATTTGTTATCTTTCTCTGGATAGGCAAAATTCATCATTATTTTTTTCCAAAGAGAAAAGAATTTAGATCTGTGTTTCAGAAATTTAATAGAGATAAAGCGCTTAAGAACTGGACCAATGATTGTAAGTTCATTTTCATATACTGCTTCTCTGCAAATTCTCTGCTAATGTTTAAAGGGGTTGAATTTGATAAAGCAGAAATAAATCATGGATCATTCAGCCAAGGTGTCTGTCAGCATTTAATGAAGAACCCGTTGTTTTCTCTTGGGTGACCTAAAGAGATGGAGGTGAAAGATCAGCTATACAACCGCATGCAACCACTGAACCCAGGGGTCTTTGGTAGCATGCAAGTAATTTAAACAAAACATAAAGAATGCCCTTCTATGGTCAAATGAAGAAGTCTGTTCTGAGTCTCAAAAAGCTTTATTTAGCAAATACTGGAGTTCAATTATTTATTATAAAAGTGATATTGTTGAGAGAATAAACCTGTACACCTAGAATCGAATTTCTCAGAATATTCAGAGCTTTTTTCAGTACAGAAGGGCTGATTGTAAATACCTATCTCCTAGACATTAAGAATTTGCTTCATTTGCAAGGTTTTATCTTTATAAAAGTAAGGAATATGATATGCCCATGCTCATTTTTTCCTCACTCATTTATGTTTTGTTGGTTAATTGAGCATTTTACAGGGTCGCTTTTTTCTACAATGTTTTTTATTCCACTGTCCTTCTGAATAACAGGTAAAATGATCACACTGAGATACAGGTTATTGCCATCTGAGATGTCCTTTATCTTGAACTTTCCTTGGTGTTCCTATCTCTCAGTCATGTTTTTGTGGGCTAATCATCTAATGCCACCTACTGTTGTGTTCTAGGAGACAGGTTGAATGGGAGCCTGCCAGCAATTTGATTGAAGGGGTTTGTTTGACACTTCAGAGGCAGCCAATCATATCCTTCCTGCCTCATCTTAGGTCACTGATCAATGTCTGTGTCAATCTGGTGAGTAAATAAAATGGCAGTCTCCTGCACATTTGCCAAGCTCCCTTCTACAATACAAATTCCCTGTTCAGCACTTTTAGAAAGAACTTCCTTGAATAACACTAGACATAATGAAATACATTTTCAAAGTGGTGCATGGGGAGAGAATGAAAAGGAAACCCATAGTCCAATGACTGGTTTTGGCTACTTTCCACGCACCACTCTGAAAATCTACTTCTGCATGTTGCGCTGAGAGTTGAGGGCTGCAAGTTGGAGAGTGGGGTGGTGGATACTGCACACACCTGCATACACCTGGCAGAGGAGTTGGAAAGAAGTGTGGGACCCTGGAGACATTATTCAGCCTCACCTTGTAAAAATAATGCCAAAGGACATTGACTATTAACTCAACAAATTACTAGAATAAATTTGTTTTGCTATTCGTAACTTTCATAGTTTAAAGAAAGTTTGGGGTGTCTTTTTATGATGTTCAGATCCTTCTGATTCTTTAACGTGGATGTTTCTAGATTGCATTAAGGAACATCAGTTTGACTTGGTGTGCCCTTGACATGCATAAAACTGCTATAATTATAGCTGACTTGAAAGACAATTCAACAATAGATAAATTCTTCATAGGTGTGATACTTCTTCAATTTAAAAAAATGAAAGAAGCTAAAATACTTACTGTGACAGTAAATGTCATTTAAGTAGGAACTCAAGTAAATGGATAAAAATATAGAGTTTTTATACGGTTAAAATGAAAACTAATAAACTGGGATAATTTTCTATATATAGCACTGGTTTAAGTTTGTTGGCATTTTCAGTGATCTTTTGAAAAGATATTGATTACAACCTGGAGGATTGTAGAATGTAGGAAATTCAGGAAACTCAGCAGAAGTCAGACAAACAGTAAAAACGTTGAACTATACTGACTTTTGGTCTGATACACCAGGAGCTTTAATATCAGCTTTATTAATTTTCATCAGCTAAAGGACCATAGTGGGATTTGTGGCACATATCAAGAACAAAATTCAAGAACTGAATGTCTCAAGATCCAAGTTGGGGAATCTTAGGGATGAAATGATGTGTTAAAAGGTGGAAGGATTGTTTCCCATTTTGAGCCTTAATTAATCCAAGTTTCTAAATAAATCAGTTCAGTTTTTCCAATGCCACCCATTTTGGGGTCTACAAAAGAAGATGTTGATAAGGCACATATCTTGGAGTCCTACTCTAAATAGCTTGAGAGTTATCACAAGATGCCTGTCTGCTGGAATAAGATTCCCTCTGAAATATGATTGCCCATATCCCTGCTAGTGATTGAAGCCCCCTTTTAGGTTGTGTGGGTTTGTTATTTCTCCTGCCCACCTGACTATCTTTTATTCCTTTGTTCTTGTTTGTTCTTGTATTGTTTTATTTATTCTTATATTGTTACTTGTTATTCTTTGCCCAGAATTGTTAGGCAGTTGGGTGGTATACAAACCTAATAAATAATAATTAAAAAAGAAAATTAGTGGATATCCACTCCTTCAAAATGGAAGAATACTATTTTCTTTTCTAAGATCTTCCTTTGTAAGATCTAGTTACTGAAATACAAACAAAACTGATGGAAAACAGACTGGAAGAAATGAGTACTTCAATATTCCACCAAACAATATTAATAACTATTAATCCAGCATTTAAAACTTATCAGAACAAGATCTTTGTGCTAGCTGAGGTCTTGGATGGGGAGGTGTCAAAAAGTGCCCAGGATCTTGTAGTTGTGCCAAAATGATGCCCATGATCATGTAACTGAAGTCCTGACCATTTTTATCTGTCATATGCATATGATTCATGTAAAAAAGAATCAGAAACCTTTCCCCTTCCCTGTTCTAGCCAAAAATGTAAGAAATCTATAACAAATTATGTAATTTGCCATTACCAAATTCCTGAAAAAACCCATACACTTCCACTAAGCAGGTAGGTCTCAATATAAGTTTCAATTGTTTTGAGTAGCCATTGCAGCATTTGATAGTAGAGTATGTATTTTTGTTTTTGTTTTGAGAGGCCCTTTGTCATAGCCTGAAACTATCCTTGGCATAAATTCTATGTTAAAGTTTTATGTACAGTACATACATTGAAATCCTCCCTCTATCCCCATGCAAGTTTAATTCTTATACAAAAGAAGAATCTGAACATTATATGAACAATCATACAAGGGAATCTGAATATTGTATTAAACCCAATCTGGATCAGACTCAGGACATTACCCTGACATAAGGAGATAATAACTAGTACATCGTGATTTCAAGTACATGTTTCCATTGAGTACAGTAACTACATGGCATACCCTCCAACCCCATCTATTCTACCAGTACAGTGCTGGTTATTCAGGCTAGTACTGGGTACATTCTTAACTGTGCTGATTTTCCTTGTGCCTTCCATCCAGTCCTTCTGCTAACCCTGTAGTAGCACCTTTTCCTTCCCATCCATCTCCTACTAGAACCACTTCATTCCCTTCTTGACCCCAGCTACCGCAAGGCATGTGGAGGGCTCTGAGCATCCCAGTCTTGCGCTATCTGAAGTGTGTACCTCATTAACATTGGAGGGTATGGCATGGATGGAATTGAAATCGTTGGTCAAGGTGATGTGCTGTGTTTATATTGCAGGTGATGGGAGTAGTAGGACCTTCCAGTGTGGCCGATGGATTACCCCTTCTTCATCTCAGCCCTTATCTCTCGCCACCTCTACCCTTCAGCACAGCTGTTGTCCGGCTTGTAGCATTGCAGATTCAGGTGTGACTGCCTTGCCTGTTAGACAGGCTTTGCTTCTTATGTGGTTGAGACACCAGTCCACTGGTGCTCTTTCGTTTTCTGCGAAAGCTGGGCAAAAACTGTGAGGCAAAGTTCATACTTCCCCATACTTATGCTGAAGTTTCGTAATTCAGCATTTAGCAACTCTCCAAGTCTTTGGTAGGTGTCAATTTAGCATAATTCCATTGAGTCACATTGGAATTGTGCAGATTGAAGCCAACCAAAGACCTGACATGAGCGACAACTATATTTCCTGACAATGTAGACTAGCATTATTTATTTTTGCTTCTTAGTTGAAGAATAAGAGCTACAAAAGTGCTGAAGCAATAAATATTTTGTAGGTTGTAAACTTGAAAGGCTAAAGCTAATTTCATGGAAATGCTTTACATAAATCTGAAGATCAGGTATTTTTACATTCTGCCCTCTGAAGTATTCTATATAATTTCAAGTTTGCATACCCATTTATTAATTCTAGAAGATATTGCTTATCAGTTAACTATCCCAGATTTCCAGAAGTTAATTGTCAACTTTTCTTTCTTTCTCTTTTTCTCTCTTTTTCTCTCTTCCCCCCTCTTTTATCCTTTCAATTATTTAAATATTAATTATTTCTATCAGATAGATGAAGATAATCTGAGACTTATATCTGTTAATGGTTTTTAAAATTGTTCATTATCATGTATACTCTTTTAATAACTTAAACTCTGTGGAGTAACTTGGGATGCTACACTGCACTGCTCCTACTTTGGAAAATGCAAATTTTGTGCTTTGTTTGGGGGTAGGGGTTAGTTCTCCATTGATGCTAAAATAAGGTGAGAAGGAAGAAGATATGACATTTTTTTTCCAGATGTAGGTTTTCTGCTCCGGTTCCCTATCTGTCCAATCTTTGGCATTTGGCAGAATCAGGATCAAAACAAAATGATAGGTATGGTCTTTCAAATGTACATTTTCAGAGAGATGTAGTGAAATCTTAAAAATGACTAAAATGCTTTCCCTTGCATTTTTTTCTAGATTTTTTAAAATTTCAGAACGTTTGGTTTGAGTTAGCATAGGTAATTATCAGTACAGTATACTATCTGCATCATTTTGCACTAAAACAAATAGGTCAATGAGCCCCAAATCTTGAAAGTTTAATCAATTGATTATGTTGAAGCTAAAAATCTAAGGGGGTGAACCTGTCCTGTAATGCATTGGGTGAACCAAGTACCTGTGGATCCAATTTTTTAAAATTTTGCTGTTTTAACCTACCAGTTTTAATTAATATTTAATCTTTTTTTATTATCACTGCACAGGCTTTAAAAGAAGATTTTCCCTTAAGCCATGTGATCTCCCCATTCACCAATCAGGAGAGAAGGGAAGGAATGCTTTTAAATCTACTGATTCCATTTGTGCTCACAGTAGGATCAGGAAGCAAAGGTCTGATTAACAGAAAGAATATTTTGTTTTCCCCTCCTGCCTGCCTCTCTGAAACAGCAATTTTGTGCATTGTTATATACCTTTATGTTTCTTTTGGCACAAGCGTTCTTTCTGGTGTTTTGTCTGGACTTGGATGAGAACATTAGTGTGTTGTAGTGTCCTTCTCTCATTTCAGCTGTGTTTTCTGAATTAAATCTTTGACAGAGGAACTCCCCTTTTTGAAATCAGGACAATGACAGAGCAGGCCGGACAAAGCAAACATTCACTTATATGTGAGAAAAAAATGGAGACAAACAAGAAAAACACACATCTTCTATATAAGCTCCTCTTCCTGTTTAAACTCTCTTATTTAACATGACCATATCTGCAATGCATCTGATTTTGTTCCAAAGGGTTCATTCACACTAGGCTAGGCTCTGATCTGCCACCTGAGAATAATTGTGGGAGGGTACAGTTTAGTCCTTAGCTGTTCAGAGGCCTGTGTACGTCTGTTTGGTTAGAAGCCCAAAGAGAATATGGTGAAGTCTAGAATGAGCCTCAATTCTTAAAAAACCAAAACCAAATATAATATAGTGTAGGAATACCAAGTAAGAGCATGATTCCTTTGTCTTGTCTTGTTGTGTTTGTTCTTGAATAACTTTGTCTTTTGCTTACAGAAGGGAAAGGTAGGGAAACCTATTGTGGTTTACAGAATGTTCATGTGTCATCATGTGTGTTTGAATCTTTTATAGGAATCAAAGCCTGATCTGCTCTTTGTCTTTTCCTTTTGATATCATGCAGACAGCCCTTGGCTGGAGCAGCCTGAAGTTCTCCTGCTGCTCCAGACAGTCATTAACATTTTACTGCCACCTCGCATTATTAGCACTTCACGTAGTAAAAACTTCATGCTGGAGAGCTCCCCTGCTCACTGCTCCACACCAGGAGATGCAGGAAAGGACCTGCGTAAGGAAGGACTAGCTGAATCCACTAGTCAAGCAGCCTACTTGGGTGAGTGAGACTTTCTATTTGGCAGTGAATTTTGAGATCAAACTGATAGGATGACAATGTTTTCCTCCCAAAAATAGTCTATTCCAAATCTTGAATGTGCAAGCATGCATGGGTTGTTATCACTATACTGTTCTTTAATTTTTTTGGACTTATTTGTCTCATTTTTTTAGCTTTGAAGGTGATCCTTGTTTGTTTTGAGCGGCAGCTTGGTAGCCAATGGTATTGGCTGAGTCTGCAAGTCAAAGAAATGGCTTTGCGAAAAGTTGGAGGGCTGGCCCTATGGGATTTCCTGGATTTTATTGTACGCACTCGAATTCCTATTTTTGTACTTCTTCGCCCCTTTATTCAATGCAAGGTAATTCACTATTGATATTAGTCAGAATTTCTTTCTGAAGTGACATTGCAAACAGGATTTATTATTGTTCCGATAGGGACAAGACATGTCTTTGTGATAAGGTGCTTTTGCAAGTAGGAGCAATACCCCTCAAATTCAGAAATTCAGTTTCAAAAGTATTGATTTGGAAATTAATATGCCTGATTCACTCTGGGTTTGTAAAAGACAGGCCTCGTGATAATGGCTGAGAATAGTTGTTGTTCTGTATGTGCATTAATAGCAAGTAAAATTTCCCAGTCTTCATGGCTGTCCGCTGCCATTGTCATCCTCAGTTGCTAGCCCAGCCAGCTGAGAATCACGAGGAAATGACTGCCCGACAACACATTGCTGACCAGCTGGAGCGGCGCTTCATCCCCCGCCCTCTCTGTAAGAGCTCTCTCATTGCAGAATTCAATAATGAACTGAAGATCCTTAAGGAGGCTGTGCATAGTGGATCAGGTGAGGACCCTGGTGGAAAAGGGAGGCTGAAAATGAGGAAACAGGAAAGGTTTGATCAAAAAAGAACATCAGTGCCAGCATCACACCAAACCCCAACTGTTTTTTCTCCTCATCAAACTCATATTATAGAATGACAAATCTGAATTTGGATAAAGAATGTAAGAATCCTCGTTCAAAATTATAAGCAGTTGTAAACTTGAATTGTGATGGTGATTGAAAGGTTATTTACTAAAAATTAAAGTTTAATTTAGGACACTGGGAGAAAAACATTGTGTGATGGTTACCAGTGGTTATAATTTCTGATGAGGCATTCTTAAGGATGGTGAGATGTACCTTGCTATTTCATAGGAGCATGAAATTAAACTAAGTACATTTCAAAAGAAAGCTGCTCCTTTCCTTACCCCCAGTGTTCATCCTTCACACTCTTCAACTGATGGCTCAGAATCATATGCCTCTCCTTTTGCTTTGGTAACATTATTCTTTGCCATTAGCATAATTATCATTCCCTCATCCCCAATTCATGTTTTAGCTTACCAAGGGAAGACCTCCATTAGCACTGTGGGAACCTCCACCTCTGCTTATCGGCTGAGCCTTGCCACTATGTCCCGCTCCAATACTGGCACTGGAACCGTTTGGGAACAGGATAGTGAGCCTTCTCAGCAAGCCTCCCAGGATACTTTAAGCAGGACAGATGAAGAAGATGAGGAAAGTAAGTATTCACCAACCTAGACATGGTATGTATGTATGTATGTATGTATGTATGTATGTATGTATGTATGCATGTATGTATGTATGTATGTATGTATGTATGTATTTATTTATTTATTTATTTATTTATTTATTTGCGTAGTTGCCCATCTCACTCCAACCGACTCTGATACAGGTAGTCCTCAACTTGCTAAATAAATGGCAAGTTATAAGAGAGGTGGAGAGTCCCTCTTGAGTCTTGGCAGCCATGACAGGCCTGGCATTGCTAGCCAAAGAAACACCTATAGAAGAAGTTATCATCCCAACAGGCCTTTCATTCTTCCCTCTGAATTCCTTTCAGATGACTCAGTGAGCATGCCCAGTGTGGTAAGTGAACAGGAAGCATACCTTATGGGTACCATTGGGAGGAGGCGATTCTCCAGCCATCTCTCCACCATATCTGCACCTCAGCCTGAAGTGGGCATGTTACCCAGTCAAAGGTAACAAAATGGACTATTTTTCATTTCCTGATATTTTTCACAAGAACAGAAATTACAAAGGTGTAATATAGCTTGTAAGTCAGAAATGTTGGGGTGAAGACCAGGCAAAATAAAGCAGGTCCAGTCCTGGCTTTTTACAAGTATTTGCAAAAGAAATATATTTAATTATCATTCTTATTATAAACATTCAGGCTTTCTTAGGTACTTCTCACCAGCTGCAAAAAAGAGGTGTATTAGTTAATATTGCTTTTCATGACTTATCAGGTTCAAAAGCCTAGTGCTGAAATGTATCTTTGTCTGAAATGTTTGCAAATGCACCATTAAAAACCAAAAGCAGACATATTTGGCTCAGAGGAGAGATCTATGGATGGCTGAACTATTTCTATAATTCCACATTGAACAAATAAATTTATTCTTGTAATAAATCTTTGAAAATAGGCAGAGGCAAACAGAATGGGAGGAATACAGGAATAGTTATACACAAACTAGTAAAGCAACAGCTTTGGATTGCAATAATTTATATTCACAATCATTTTGCAAGTATTAGAGACCCCTGTATTCCCCCTCCCCACCCCTAAACTTAACTAAGGTAACTAACTAGCATGGATTTAATCTGGTGATATATACCTAACAGTGTTTAGGTAGATTATAGTTCTGGACAGTGAAAGCACAACACAGGAGATGAAACTTTATAAGCCTAGACTACCAATTGGAAAACAAATTGGTCTGAATTCACTCTGCGGGCTCTTGTGATTGCTTTTTTCATTGCTTAAAAGCAATTTTATTAGGGTTTTAAAAATATCACAGAAGAGCCAAAGATCTTCTGTGCTTCATCTCCTTTGGAAATAGATATGGTTACTTTAATTAGTCACAGATAGCTGCTCCCTGCATTCTGGAGGCCTCTTCCATGTCAAATCTGCTAGCAGTTGTCAGTTTTTTCAAAGAGCTTTGGCTTTAATACAAAAAAAAATCACATTTATGTTGCCTTTAATATTTTTAAAAAATCAGTAATGTTCTGCTATATATTCTACTTATAATCTGAAAAAACATTTTTCCTGAACATATTTGGGGGGGGGGAATCAATAGAATTACAAGTATTTAACAAAGTATTTTTGATTCCCAACAACTGAGAAGTGAAATAGATAAGGTTTGAACATTTTTCTTGTAAGGAGAAACTACTTTAGCTGTAATGTGCTATCATATTACAAACCAGAAAAAAAAGATAGCACTTCACTTTTGGGCATAACATTCCCAAATGCTATATGAATAGTGCTATGAAATAGTGCTATGAAATCTTGTTTAGATAGCTGGATGGCTCGAAGATCCCTTCATCACAAGAGAGCGTAGACCTGTCTGCTGCTGAGGATATTTTAATTATCTTTCCAAATATACAGTTGGGAGATCAGAGGACTGGAGGTTCTTCTAAGCCCTAGGGTTGGATAAGTGTCATACTCCATATATCCTCTCCAAATAAGTCTTTTTGGCATCTCCCGCCTCAGTAGTTCAGTTCAGTGGCTGGGAAGTAAAGGAAATTGGGAAGCTCAAATCAGTGATGGGATTCAAATATGTGAACAACCGGTTCTCTGTGTGGATGCTGCTTCCGGAAATCCATTCAGGGCCTGGGCAATAAAAAATTAGCTACCAGTTCTGCCGAAGTGGTACGAACTGGCTGAATTCCACCACTGGCTCAAATGCCTGTCTACTGTTTATGCCTATGAAAACAAAGATGGTTTTAATATTGTGAACTGTATTTTTCACTGAGACTAGAGGGAAGTTAGCCTCTAAATTTATTATATAAATGTGGAGATTCATTGCTTCACATCTTCTCTATGCAGGAAGCTCTTTAGACTATAGGAAAATTCATCTTTCAGTTTTTTTAGTTGCTTCTCTTCAGGGAATTAGTGTTGAGGCCAATTTGCTCTCCTTTATTTTCTCTACTATCCTTCTGATACTTATTTTCTTTGAACACAGAGACAATTGCATGCTTTAAAAACATATTTTCTTCCTTAAATGCTTCACCTCCTTGCCCATCCTGCAGTGAACCCAATGTCCTCGATGACTCCCAGGGCCTGGCCGCTGAGGGCAGCCTCTCTAGGTACCGTGTTTACCCTACTGTGTGTCAGTGTCTGTGCTGGGAACAAATTTGCTCCCTATCTTCACTGTCTTTCTTCCATCCCAATTCTCTTTTCCTCCATTTCAGTTTCTTGTTCTTCACTGATGGTTAGGCCTGCAAGACAAAAGTTTAGCAACCTGAGTAAGCTGTGAGCTCTGGCTCCATCAAACTTTATTGGCAAAATAGAATTCAAAAAGCAGTGTGGAGCAAAGCTGCCAAACCATCTAGATTACCTGTTGGAGTAATTCTCTTCTTCTCTCATTCCCATTGTATTTTTAACCATAGGAATATATGAAACATTTATCACCCATTACTAACAAATATATTTCAGGAACATGCTGGAGGCTTTTAAAAATAAAAGCTCCTTCTATTTGTTCATACTATTAACTACTATGTTAATCTTTTATAAGCATTAGGTTAGTGTCCATATAGATCAGAGGTCTTCAAACTTGGTCCTTTTATGACTTGTGGACTTCAACTCCCAGAATTCTTCAGCCAGGCACGCTGGCTAAGGAATTCTGGGAGTTGAAGTCCACAAGTCATAAAAGGGCCAAGTTTGAAGACCCCTGATATAGATTAATCATAAAGATATGGCTTGCAGAGTTAGCAGCTTGTGCTTATAAGAATTACATTAGCAATTTTTGTAAATGGCTTGTTTATAATGCTCTTTATATTACAGGTAGTCCTCAACCCACTACCAGTTCCAACAGTCCTATCTTGAGGTTACTTAGAACCCAAATTCAAAGTTCCAACGGTTGGCCAGCCACAGACACATGACTGAGCTTCAGGCATTTGGCAACATGGCTCATTTACAGCCATTTCCAGGGTCCCATGGTCACATGACCACAAGTTAGGACAATTATATTGAAAACTGCCATTTATTTCCAGTTTTCAACAAAACCACATCCACAACAAACCATTGTTTTGCTTAATGACCACAGTGTTTGCTTAACTGCAGTGTTCACTTATTGACTGTCATGACCATGATGGGCAGTTTCCATTACAGTTGTAAATTGAGGACTACCTGTATGAAAGTGGATTGATTATATGGATTTTACTTTCACCTTCTAAAGAAGACAACTATTTATTCTCAAGAAAGTGAAGAAAAAAACTCCCAAGAAGAACCTTATTTTCAGCTCTTTTTTTGCCTGTAACTAGTTATAAATGCTTCTGGCTACTAAAGGGAGATGGTAGAAATAAACGGATGTAATTGGTTAGTCTAATATCCTAGTTGTGATTACAGCTTCAAGCATTAATCAAACCTTAACCCATTTCGCTAATGAAATAAAAGAACACGCTTTCTTGAAATCTGATATCTGGCAATGTTTTCTTTGAAAATAAAATATCCTCTTTGTGCAAGAAGTAAAATAAACACAATGCCTTTAAAGTTTATTACTTTTAAGATATAATGGGATGACTGCCCGTTTAACACTCAGCTCGGTCATTTGAATCATTGTTACTGTTCTGCCTCTCAACTGACTCACTATAGCTAGGAAGACTCCTATTTTTCCCCAGGTGTCTGTGCCTCATAGAAAACCATCATAGAAAACTATATCGGTTGTGCGAAGACTGCTTCCCTTTTTAACACTTGATCAGTCAGGCAATATTAAGTGGGATTATTGGGAATTGCCTCTTTTTTATTTTGTCATTGTTTTTAGATATTAAAAACAGGAGATTATGTATCACTGGGTGTGTCACATTGATCATTCTCATAATTCACAAAAAAATGTGTGTTTATGTTAATTTTCCCCAGTCACATGAATCAATCTTATTGGTCAGGATGTGAAAACATATGTGGGAGAGAAGAATACACTTTTGTGTACAGAAAGTAGGAATTTAAAACATGAATCAAACATCCTGATGTGTCTGTAAGCATTAAATAAGGAAATGAAATAAAATAAACTTATCTGAAGCCCCATTGATTTCAGTAGCATAACTTTCTGGACAGATATATAGGGTGATCCAGAAATAATAGGGCTGTCAAAATTTGGGATACACACACACACACACACACACACACACACACACACACACACTCTTATGGAACAAGGGGCTCAACTACCACTCTAACCCAAGACCTGGAGAACAACCAGGTTTTTAAAGGTGGAGCAGTACAGATCCCCAGGGGGATCTACAGGACAGAAGCCATCACACCTCTCTCTTTCACTAACTCTATAATTGTTTCATCATAAATAAGCACATCAATCTTGCATTGCAATTTAGAGTCATTGTTTTTTATGCATGCATAGACTTAACCACATATTCAAAACAGACCTTTTATAAAGCAAATAAGCATCAATAATCATTCTAACTTTTTTCTCTTCAAATGGCTCAATCACTTTTTCTGTATTCTCTTGTTCCTATCCATTTATTTCAATTAACTATAATTTGGAGGGCATTCATTCAAATTGTTGCACATTTTCTCTAAATTTATCCCTGGTTCTTCCATTATCACCATTCAACTGAGCACAGTACATAACCACCGATAATCTATGGATTCATATTTTAATAACTATAATAACCTAGATGACACCAAGTTGTACTTTCTGATACAATATTTTAGCCTTTCCTCTTTTCTTTTCCTAAACCTACACCTACCTTCATTTTGTAGCATATAATCTTCAACCCTCTCTACAAGATCAGAATACCTTTATTCAGATCTACTACATTTTTCCTGTTTCCCTCAAATTTCACAGATCAGTTTGGCTTTTTCTGGTTTCATTTTTGATTTATGCTCTTATTACATTCTAAGTCATAGTCTTGCATATGGCATAATAATCAGCAGATGGTTTCAGAGATACTTATCACCACCATCCACCTTGATTTTGGTCAAACAAGATTCTCATGTAACACTTTTTAATGTTTAGACTATCAAAAATAGCACTGACAATTCATATTGCCATTTCAAATTAGCTCATAATACAGTTCATAATGATGACAGTGATAGCTGATCTATATTTTTCAAATATTAGTTCCATTACAGTTGCTTTTAGAAATAGAGAAATAAAATTTGTGTAGAATAGTGGATAATAGTCTGAATTTGCAGTTGTACTGCAGGGGCCATTTCATTAAATGAAATGAGTAAAACATCATAGGGAGATCTTATGGTCCACAGTGCTTTGAAGACTTTTATTTTTAGCTGAGTAATAAGTGAAAACATCTGTACATCTTGCTTGCAATCAGGTAAAACAAAAGATAGCTCTGTGAAATGCATAAAGACAATGGCCTTGAAAGTCAGAAGAATCTGCTATCAAGTCAATGATCAAATAAAAAAAATCTGACCCAGGCCAAGAAAGTAATTTGGGATAACACTTCAGACTCAAACAGCCCTCCCCACCCCCAATTCTCATGAAAGTAAAAGAGGGAGGACAGGCAGTATTCAGTCTTGCAAGATTGGTGGTAGCCATAATAGGTATACCAGACTAAGAAACAGACACCTTGCAGATCTAAGCTGCCTTTATTACTGCTTTATTATTTTTATTATAATAGCTATAGTATCGTAATTCTGCAGCTTTGGTCAGGTATCTAATATCTTTACAATTTTTCCATGCAGTATTACTACTGTGCATTTTAATCATAGATATTATTTTCAATTAGCATAGGTATTTTTAGTTGGCTACTACTAAAGAATTTTAAAATCTTGGAAAAATTTGTATCAGTTTGGATCAGTTTGTATGTTCTGATACACATTTGTCTGTCATAATAGTCTTTTTTTCAAGTTTTCATATTGCTATTTTGTAAGTTGAAGAAATATGGCCCATCTGATTAATTTTGCTCTAAGACTACCTGTCACATCCAGCTCAGATTTCTCTTAGGCTTGATTAACACTTATTAATTAGTGTTCACCTTGAGAGGATGCCTATCTTAAAGCAAGGGGAAATAGATTTAGAACTCCTCATCTGCCCTTGACTAACCATGGAAGGTTTATGGAACAGATATTGCAAAATGGTGACATTTTATATTTATATTTTACACCAGTCAATCTCTCTCAGCCCACTCACATGACATTGGCTGAGACATAAGGTATCATTCTCCGCATTCATACTTCTATTGCTTATTGAACTTATACATTACAAATAGGGTGAGATAGTTTATGAGTAACTAAAGAGGCCAAAAGCATAAAATTAATGAATGCCATCACATGAATTTGTTGTGAAGAATATTAAATTGTATATAGGCTTACTAATGGCATATGTAAAGCTTGAATGAAATGCATTTAGCCACTAAAAAGCAGTCTTCTGGTTTACAATTACAATAGGAATTGGTTCCATTAAAATGCTGGCAAGAAAGCAAATAGATTAAGGGATTTAGTTTTTAATATACAGAAAGTTTAAAAATAATTGCTGCAGTAAGATATGCCTGCCTACTTTATTACGAAAGTATGCAGATTCCTTTGATAATTTGTTAAATCCATTTTTTAAAGAATCCATATATGCCAATTGCTTTTTGCGTCTAATTTGTGTTGGTATTGATTGTGAAAGCTCTATATAATTTAGGACCTAACTGCTTTGATTCCTTCACAAAGTTTAAAAGTGGGATATAAATAGGTTGATAAATAAATAAATCCCAATTACTTTTCCTGAGGTGTGCTTATTTAATGCTAACTTGAAACTGCAAGTATATGTTCAGTGTGGTAACTTTTTCCATAAGTCCTGTGCCAATGCTGTGAGTTAAACCTTTGTCAATTGTGTTCATCATTCATTTTAATCTGTATTGAACTCCAATTATTCAAAACTATGACATCTATCAAAACTAATTGCAAAGAAAAATGTTTTGATTTAATATTTAACATTTGTATACTGTGTAAAGCTAAGGCTTTAAAATGGCATCCTCATTATTATCCTCCCTTGATTTGTTATGTCAAGGGAGGATAATAACATTGTGGAATGGAAGGCATTATTCCTTGACTAAAAATAGACTAAAGAATGATAGGATCCTCAGTGCCATTACTCTTTCTATACAACCTAAATAAATAGTCTCTCATAACCTTCAAAGATGGTACTGTATCTTTGAAGTGACTGTGTCATTGCTGTTTAACAACATTTGCAAAGAAATTCTCTAGTCTGTGTTATTCTGTGGTCATGCTCATATTCTTGACACTTACACAGGGTAGCGAGTGTGCAGAGTGAACCTGGACACCACAATCTTCTTGTTCAGCAACCATTAGGCAGGAAAAGAGGTCTAAGACAGGTGAGTTCAGAACTGTTGATTGGATGAATGTAACTTGTTAAGGGAATTTGTTAAGAGTTTTTACCTTGAGGAATCTCGTGGACCTTTCTGAAACAAGAATGATTTCTGATTTAGGGCATGATATGAACAGATGGGAGGAAAATACTGATCTGAGTATTTGCAAATCTTGGAATTTCCTTATCTAATTCAATTGCATCCACACTTTCTAGCTAAGGAGGCCTCTTTTATCACGCCAGAAAACCCAAACTGAACCTCACAGCCGTCACGCAGCACGACTTTCAACAACACGTAGAAGCATACAGCCCAAAACAAAACCAACGGGTGAGGAAACATTTATAGTATTCTAAGTTTTAAAAAATTACTGGTTTCTACATATATTAGTGTATCAATCAATCAATTAATTAATGGCTATGCAATATCTTTGTTAGCATGATTCTAATACTGATGATTTCAGCAAAACAAGAACATCATTGATATCAAAAATCATAAATTCATTATATCACAAAAATACTTTACACTAGAAAGGAAAATCTTCTCTGTTTTGAGTTAACATATAGCAAAATTCAGAGCACTTTATTTATTCATGAAGAGCCAGTAGTTTCCCCACATCCATATTAAGCCTCTAGGTCTAGGATAGGGGTAGGCAACCTTGGCTCTTTTATGACTTGTGGACTTCAACTCCCAGAATTCCTGAGTCAGCATGGCTGGTTCAGGAATTCTGGGTACTGAAGTCCACAAGTCATAAAAGAGCCAAGATTGCCTACCTCTGGTCTAGGAGAACTAATTTTCTACAACAAAGGGCTGATCTGCACAAGCTTGACCCAACAAAAGAATAGGCTATTGAGAGTATCTCAAAGCAGAAACATGTACTTTTGTACTCTTCTTGCACCCAGTCCAACAGGGAGGCAACGTCTGCTTGGTTTTTTTTCTGCTCCGAGTCAAAAGTATCTTTCTGACTTATGTCACTTCAAATGATGCTATCAGGTTCACCTTCTGGGCCTTTTTTTTCTTTTTTTCTTTACAAAGTCACTGATGGAACACTGAAACCATGAACCTATCCTTGTTTCCAAGTTGTTTTAAACAAGTGACATTAACAAGAATTCTGTCACTTTCCTCTTCTACTTGAGTGACAGAAAAATGGGTAAAACTGTAGTGTTTTCTTTTTTTTTCCCTTTAATTTTTCCAAAATAGGTAAAGAAATAGAAGAATCCACCAACAACAGCTATGGTAACTATTATCTAAATAGACTACTAGGCAATTACTAGGCCTAAATGGAGTAAGAGGATGAAATCTGAGAAGGGATTTCTGAAGTTGGCAACATTTCTAGCTGGCTCATGCACAGGAGACAAGCAGCTTCAAGGCTGCAGTGCAGAAATGCCCAAAGATCTCAGATGTGATTTATATATCTCACCCTCCCATCATTTTTGCAAATGAAATCTTTCTCTATATGAATTGTAAATTTCCCAGCATTCCCGGCTTCAGCTAGTGTTCTGCAGCCTTTACACATCAGAAGAGCTCAGATTCCACTAGTGGCCAGCACAATATTTACTGGAAATTTTTTGAGGATTTTGAGGGTATTTATTTACATATTTTAGAGTTCATGTTGCTTTTCGTCATAATACTTGGATTTTATAAATCACCATACAAAAATAAATGGCTTATAGGAAACTAGTGATGTATTTTATTTGGATGAAAAACATAATGCAGTTATTTTTTTGTTGTGGCTATTTTGACTGGTAGATACTCCAGGGCAGGATGCACCCCTATTATCCAGTTCTATAAAAGAAAGAGCAATCCCTTATTGGCTGGCAGCATTTTGTGAAAGCTGTAAACTCAAAATGTATAGACATACAAATGCTAAGAGTATTTTAATGTTCAAATAGAACAGCAGTATGGAAGATAATCTGGAAAATTAAATTTGCTTACAGTGTGTTGTGGAGGATTGCATGGCAGAAAAGTTGGCAGCCTGAATCTTCTGTTATTTTATCTGCAAGTATGGTGCCCACTGGAATATGATTTTAAGGATGGTCTATTAAATGGGAGAACTTCTCTTAGACATTAGTCCTGCAGGACCTCTTGTCCTTAATCTTTCTTTTGAACTTTTACCTTTTCCTAATGGCCTGTCTGTAGCCTTACTGTTGCTATTTCTCCTCCACTCTTCTTTTAAATCTGATTTGGCTGTAGCCCATGTAACTCCTTGGGCCCTGTCAGCCCTCTCAATTTTTTTAAAAAAGCAATATGATGAAATGAAAATGTCTGTGTCATAAAACAAGGGAGATACAATGACAATCAAAAAATGTAATGCAGTAACAAAACATCAGTTTCAGCTTTTTTTCAAGCATCTCTTTGCTCCCTGCTCTCTTTTTCACAATCTTCTTGTTATTCTTCATTGCTGTTACTAGTTTTCCACAGTTACATCTTATCAGAGCATTTTTATTTTATTTGGTTTCAATTTTATCTCACTGGAAATTCACAGAATCATCATCTCTGCTGGCCACAGCTTCTCCTTTCTGAGAATATTCTTTTGATATTTTTTAAAAAAGGGAAAAATTCCAAAAGATTTGTTAAAAATGAAGATGGACAAAAAAACCTGACAGGTGCCAAGCGGATTATTCCTGGTTATTTGTTTCTTTGAGTATATTTCTGTTTATAATTTCTGCTCATGCTCTCTCTCTGTGTGTGTATTTTAAATAACTTATGTTCCTACAATAGATTGCATTCCAGCCATAAATATTTCCCCAATGGTTTTAAATATATACATAGCCATGCATAAATAGAAAACATAGAGCAGCAGCAGATAGTAGCAGTGCTATATGTACTTCTGTACCCTGGCCTTCTAGACCACTGAGTTCAAGCAATTGTAAAGGGAAGACACTTGTGGCTGTGAACAGGGGTGGTCCTTAAAGTTCTGTGAAGTCCCCAAGGTCCAAAATATGCCAACCTCTGTTCTAAATGTACATATCAGTTTCAAGGAAGTTCCTGGTATCACGGAAGTTTCAATTGGGAAGGGAGGTTTGATGTAAATTTATTTAGGCAGTAGTTTCAGGAGCTCCCTTTTAAGATTAGCAACTATTTTTGTTAATATAATGACACATATTCAGATTTTTTTTTATCCTTATGTATTTATTGCTGCTTATTACTTGCAGTGGATCAAAAACGATCTGTCACCTTCACTGAAGCTCAATCAGAGGCATCATCTTCAAAATCTGATCCTACACCTATTGCAGCCCAGCAGCAACAATGCAGCAAAAGGAACAGCCCTGCAGAAGGTAGCAAGCAAGCAACCAATAAATCTGTTGTGAAGTCATCACCTACCATTATTGTGGCAGATCTCCATAGTCAAATCTCTTCTCACCAGGTAATTTAATAAAGCAGAAAAATATGCTTGCTATTTTCAATGGAATATGCCCACTAATGGTTGCACCTACAGTTAGTGTTATTCTTTGGGTGTTAGCCTTTGGTTTCTCATATTAAGGATAGTGTATCTTTTTAATCTCTTATTCCAGCTGTAGATAACTTGATACTATCTGGAGTTCTATCTTATGGTTCCCACAATTCCATTGCTTTATGGAGACTCATAAGAATTGAATTGTAATCTGAAACTCTGGTAGCACTTTAGAATTTCTATTCCACAAATAACTGGATGTGTAGCCTTATTTGTTAGTTGGGACAAATTGGGAGAGCTGCTGTTGTACTGGTCTCCCTTCTGTTCAGTGGTAGCAGTTACTCAGCTTCATTTCTGGATCAACAGTGGATTTCACCAGGCTTATGGTGGGGGAAATTTTAACATGTTTTTATTGGGGATGGGATCAGAGATGGTCTGGAAGTTCATAGCCACCACAACAACCTGATATTCCAGGGCCAACACACGCAGGTGGCTATATGCTAAATCTAGTTTCTGGCTCAAGACAGATGTAATGTGAGCTGAGGTTTGGAGACATTGCAATCTGTCTCCTGTCATGGTCAGATCACTCTGTGCTGTGTCCAGGGTTACTAACTCTGCAGGGAGGATGTGTTTGCTCAATTGGTCCATCAAATAGGATAGCTATTCTTGGCTTCCAGAGGCACTTGCAATGTTGCTTGGGCTGTGATGAGAGTTCTACAGACATACAATTTGCTTGCTAGACTAGGAAAAAACAACAGTTTTGGACAGAATTGAGCAACCTTTTCTAGTTCAGAATGCAGAGGAGTTCTAGGAGATGAAGTAAACTAGGAAATGCCTAGAGCAGAGTGAATCAGGCTGAAAATGTACAAGAACTCATATTCTAGCCCAGTGCTTCCCAAACCTGGCTAAATTATCCCAAATTGGGTAAAAGTGTCTTTTTCTTTGAGTAACAGAACAAATGATGCTGGAAAGTATAGAAAGTAAATCTCATTTTACTAATTTGTGAGCATTTTACTAATATCTAATCTGAAGGTTTTGGTGCGGATATAATAAACTTATTGTATGTATTGAATGTAGTTTGGTGTCTATGCATACCAAAGCAGATGTATGAAAACAAAATTTCTCTATCTCCTACCCATATTTACATGACATAACATTACCATACTGCAGATTTCCTTTCTTTTGAAATATAAGGAGTCATTTTCTTATATGGAATAAGAAGAGAAAATTCAAGTAGAATTATTTGTATTAAATGTTGAATGTGCCTTGATTGACTGAATGATTGATTATATTTATAGCCCACCTTTTCTTCAGGAGCTCAAGGCAGTATATGTGGCTCCATCTTATCAGCACAACAGCCCTGTGAGGTAAGTTACTGTGGACTGGGAAGTTGAATCTATGCCTCTCAGGATAGTTAGTTTAAAAAAATGCATAAGCATGAGAAAAATGTACAAAGTGTATAAAGCCAATTTTCTTCTATCGGCCAAGATAAAAGAATGGGGATTTTTTTAAAAAAAAAAATCAAAACAGGTTGGAATTTACAGAGTATCAGAACATTTTTCATAAAGAAGCTTGCTAAATATTATATAAAATGGTAAAAGACTTTTTGAATTATATATCTTTAAAATCTGTTTCATAAAGTGACTATAACTCCTTTTGCTTTTTACCATAAAAGATTTGTTGGAAGGCTAGATGACTATTAAGTGATAAGTATGTCAAATTTAATCAAAATCAGAGAGGGTACACCTTTATTTCTTACTCACCTTTAAAGTTTGATGTTATTAAAAATATCTTACATTTGACATTCTGTAAAATAAAACATTCTGCTTTGGAGATAATGACATTTGTGGCAAAAATTGTTCATACAAATGAGAAATATCTGTGACAAATTTTGGGCAGATAGGGTTTTATGTAAAATGAAGAGATGGTGGTAACAAATAATGGAGTAATTAAAGGCAGGAGAAAGTGTGTTTTTAAGCCAGTCAGGGAAACAAGTGAAGATAATTTTAATATTGGGAAATGGGAAATAGCAAAGTGAGCTAATGAAAGGATTCTCTTTCATGCACTCTCTGCTGCATTCCCTTCTTTCAAAAATATTTTTATTAAAGATTTTTTTTAAAAGAAAAAATAATACAAACTAATATAAAGTGAGAAAAATAAAAGAAAAAGAATATATCAAAGAGAAAGCTTAAAGTGAAAGAAAAATAGAAAAGAAGAAAGATACAAAGACAAAATCTTCTTTTCAGCAGTTTTAAGTACAATCATAAATTTACCTCTTACTCTGATTACAACATAACTCTCTTCTTTCTATAGTCTATACTTCCTAGTCATCAAAACTATAAATCACAAGTTCATTTTTTTCTGTTTCACACAAAAAGTCTGCAAGGGTTTTCCAATTAGCAATAAATGTAGTTATTGTCTTATCTCTGATCAGAGTTAGTTTAGCCATCTTGGCAGATAGTCCCAAATCTTTCCATCTTTGTGCATACAATAATCTCACTGTAGTTATTATGTAGAAAAACAATCTTCCACTATTTTTTACAACTGTTTATCCAATAATTCCTCCCTACACCCTCTGGTTTCAATGGTATATTTATCTTTACAATTCTCTGAATCAGTATATGCACTTGAATCCAATTTTCTAGCTTTTTTTACACATCCACCAAACATGATAAAACATCCCCTCTTGGTCACATGTAAAACATAATTTTGAGATGTCTTTATACTTTTTAGACAATTTCTTTGATGACATACACCAGTGGTACATCATTTTATAAACATTCTGTCTAAAATTATAACATAATGTAAATGTAAAACTTCTTTCACCCACACATTTTCCCATTGTTCCAGCTGTATATTATAACCAAATTTTAAGCCATTTTATCATACTTTCTTTTTTTGTTTGCCTTCTGTTTCAAATTTTAATAAAAGTTTATACATTTTATATCATTTGTACACAATTCGGATTAAAACTGTCTTATAATGTTCAAAACTATAAATTATTTTGTCTAGATTAAATCATTCTAATTAAGAGAACCATTGATAACTATATCCATCTGTCACCAGTTCTCAATTTTATTTTACATTCCCTTGACAAAATTATAATAACTCAAAATGAGCTTGTCATTTGTGTTTGTCAACTATTTCCCACCTATAAAAACTTCTTGTGCTGAGAGTCACAAAGATATTTTAATTCACAATCTGGATTTATATCTATTTTATATTCTCTATATGGCAAATATAACATAACAATTTTTAAAATCCACATTTGTCACACCACAAATATCCATGCCACCCAAATCTCAAGTCAAATTCTAATACCGAAAAACACTCGCTCTTTCATCCAAAGCAAACACAAGCTGAAAATACAATTTCAAGTCAGGTAAACTAAATCCTCCTCTTTCCTTTGTATCTTGTAATACCTTATATTTAATTTGTGGTTTTTCACCCTACCACACAATTTATATATCCTTCTGCCACTGTTTAAATGGTATATCTGTTGTCAAAAAACATATATTGTCTGAAACAAGAAGAAAAGATAAGAATTAAAGAATAATTAAAAGAAAAGAGTTTCCAGAGAAGTATTTCTTAACAAATTAAGCTTTTATAACAATTATCTATGCTAACAATAAGAGAAATGAAAATAAAAATGAATTATGTAAAGCAAAAAATGCCTGAGTTTCCAAATAAACACGGGAAGTGGCAAGTATATACAATATGAAATGACGGATCCTGGGTGCTCTCAGAACTTGGTTGTTTTCCTGCATGTTTCATTACGCAAACTAGGTAACATTATCAGTGCTGATGATGTTACCTAGTTTGGATAATGAAACATCTGCAAGGAAACAGCTAAGCTCAGAAAACACCAAGGACTCCTTATTTTTTAAAAAATATGTTAAGACATGGAATGAAGTTTAACAAGATTATGTTAAGATGGGAGAAATTACAATTGTCATTGTTGGGGAGAGTTTCTGTGATAAAAAATGAATGTCTCGCTTACATTGATGTCAGACAATGTCTTCCAAGTATTCTCCACCCCATCCCTGAAGAAGCTTTAGTAGTCTGAGTTGACAAATAATTATATCCTTCCTCTCATTCCTTCTATCCCACCAAAACAGCAAGTGCCTAAAACTAGCATTTTAAACTCCCAATCTTCTTGTCAGAAGGAACTGCCATAGAGAACTTTGAATTGAGGACAGGTCATTTTTAGATATCTCTGGCCTGAGTGAACTTAAATGGCATCCTAAAAGGACACATTGTTCTCTGGGTTCAAGACTCATGCCAAGTTGGAGCATAATTCTCAATATAGGACAAGTATGATATCATCTAAATGTTTTAAACATTTCTATGTATTTGTTCTATATCATTAATATAATTACACAGCATCTAGCTCCCATACAATACGTAATTTTTTCTATTGTTGATAATGTGACTATTGTCTACCCTTTTTCTTATAAAGAGTTCTTCCTATCATATCTAACACTATTATTGCAGAAAAGGAGGAGTGCCTATTTCCTTTTAAATGAATATGCAATGTTCATATTCCATTAGTATAATTTTGAGATAACGTAGATAGATGTGTGCAAAAACTGGTTTGGAGCAAGGATGGTTGTGGTACTCCAGTGCCAGACCATGTCTGAAACGCTTGAATCGCTTCTTGTTCCAGCGGATTCATTTTCAGAAAAATAAAAAGTTACTCCCACAAGGAATGGAGGGGTAGCAAGTTCCAAAAAGCAAAGAGATTCTAGGCAATGACACATTTTCTGATTAGAATATAGGATTTTATACATAACAAATTATTATACTTTAATCAGCCCATATTTTTCTTTTGTCTGGAATGGCAATAATCAACAGCAATAACTGTGCATATAAAGAAATCTGAATATCCAGTTATTCTATAGTGGTTCATTCCCAGGGTCTTGGTGGTGATGGGGGGGGGGGGGAGAGAAGAGACTTTAACTTCAACTGAGATGCTCATCACTGTTCTCCTGTTTCCTTTCCAGGTAAGAATTGTAAGCATGCAGGTTAAAGGAAGCAAAAAGCGGCTCTGTTAAATAAAAAGTGATGAGGCTGTCTTCATACTCTGTAGAACTACCATAATGAACTTGGCACATTATATATGCATTTTTGTACATTGGATTGTTAATTTAACCCAAACAGTTTCAGCTAAACTGATTTCAGTAAGACTTAAAGTAACTTTTCTCAAATTGTCAATGGGGATCCACTCTTGCTCCAGCACTCCATTCCATCCTTTACAATAGGCACCAGCAGCTCCTGATATAGGAACTGGAATTGGTTAGAGTTAGACAGCAAACTTATAGTATTCAGGATGGAGGGAAGAAAAATGAGGAAATATGATAGGTAGTCCAAGTAGCAGGCAGAGTGAGTGAAAGAAGTTATACTTCTTTGCTTTTTTCCAGAACTGTATTTTAAATTTCATTTGGAAGGCAATATAATAATGTAGATCAGAACTGATTAGATACAACTAAGATGTATTCTTAAAAATTCTTAAAATCAAAATCAGGAGGAAAGTACTAGTTTAGTCCTAATGCTATTGATATTTTGTTACCAGATCTGTTATTCTCTCTCTCTCTTCTCCTTCTCCCTCTCTCTGTTTGTCTCTGTCTCTCTGGCTTTTATCTTTACTTATGTTAATTTGCATTCCCATTTGTTTGCTTCTGTTTTTAATTGTTGGCAGTTGAACATATTTTATTAATAAATTTATCATAAGTATAATTGTGTTCTCAATAAAGAAAAGAACAGTGTCTTGAGAAAGAGAAAAGGAAATGTGCTTAGATTTGCAGCTATATTTTGAGAGCATACCTAGGGGAGTTAGAACAGGTTAAGCCCTGTAAAATGAAAAAAAGAAAAGGAGATAAGATGATTTAAAAGGTGAATAAAAATTAGTAGCTCTGATCAGCTAATATCTTCTGAAGAGGGAAGGTAGTCATGATGCAGCTACATTTCATGATGTACTCATCTCTGGTGGTTAGACCTTTTTGACCTGGGTAAGGATGGAGGACAAATATGAACTAGGCAGTGTTCCAATGGTATTTGATAATCCAACCCAATAGATTTAAGTACTGGTGTTGCACTGCTTGCCAATCTCCTTCTCCCATTTCAAATAGATGCCAGTGATGACCAGTGCTATTATTGTTTCCTTTCATCATTCTTCCTGCCAACAGTTCAACAATGCTTGTATTTTATTTGAGGAAAGATGAACTATAGAATTCCCTATCACTAAAAAAGTTATTATGGTAAAGCTTTGTAACAATTTCCAAAAAGGAGTTTGCTATGTGTGAAAAAATATAGCTTCCAATTACAACGAAATCTCCATCTATCTGCCACTCTATTTACCTCAGGCTACCACTGTCTCAAGGGAACTCTTGGACAATTCCAGATATACTTGTAAGCTGTCCACAGTCGCTTTGTATAGGTGTGTGTGTGTGTGTGTGTGTGAGAGAGAGAGAGAGAGAGAGAGAGAGTTCTATTGTGATAAAATATTATGGATCTATATTCATAGATTTATTGGCTGCCCAGAGTTCCCCTGTGGTAGGATGGTGGCCAATAAATTTAATAAATAAATACATCTACTTCTATTCATTGCAGACTGAGACACCTGTTACTGGAAAAGATACAAAAAAGGAGGAGGATTCAGAGCAAAACCCAGCACTTGCTCATAGTACCTCTCCAACTGCACAGCTTTCTGATGCTGAGGACTTCACGGGCTTAGAAACAACCAGCTTATTGCAGCATGAAGATACTGTGCTTCATATAAGTGAAGACAATGGGATGGAGAATCCACTTCTTTCCAGCCAGTTCAACTTCACACAAGTTGAGATGGGGCAAACTGATGTTGTCCAGGATGAATCACATGTTTGACTTGAAAGAAATAGAATACAATAGAGGAAGCAGAGACTTTCCTCTAATCTTCCTAGCTCTCTATAAGTAATGTAAGTAAAGAAAGAGCACTTTATAAACAATGAGAGATATCTCATATCCTGTTGGCGGGTTAATATATTTCATAATTCGTAAGTTATGCCTTTGGAAGATCTAGTTAGACTCAGGACACACTGTAAGACTGAAGAATAACTGGGAATGTTCTTAGACACAGAACTTAATCATGACATAGGAATCTTCTGCTTCTTAGACTCTCCAATAAAATATTACATTAAACATTACAGGCAGAACATGAGAATGATCTTTTAGAAGGCAGACCACCTTAACATAATACCTAAAGTTTATTTTTGTAATCTCAGAAGGGAGACAGATACTGTACACAGAGTATATTTATTGCAAACATCATTAATAGCAATCACGCTACAGGAAAATTTCATAACTATATATTTCAATTAGCATAGGACACAAAGTTTATTTTCACACACTATATAAGTTTGCAGGTGTTTGTGAATCTGTGAAAAAAACATAACATATATCCATTATGTCTCTGTTTGAACTGTGTATCCAATGGATGATTTGCAATCTAAATGAAATATGAATGTAATCATTAATGTACAAGTAAATAACCTTTATATTCTGATGTCAATAATTTTATTTAGCTAATGTTTAAAGGTTTCTAAATTGGATGTAGTGTCAGCCATACATATAAGCCTATCATAAGAAGCAAAACTTTAATATATATATATATTTCATAATTAGCTGGGGGTGGTCTTTTGAAGCTATGCAGCAAAAAGATTTGGCAAAATTAAATTGTATTTTACTGTTCTCATTAACTCCCATTGCTTTAAACCAATCTAACCTCTACATGCTGGGGGTGTGCTGCTTTCATTGTTGTTATTGTTAAAGTTAATATAACTGTATACCACTTTTTAAATGTTGCTTGATTTACTTGTATGATGGGGTTCTCATTGGTTTAGGAAGATTGAAGAATCATCTGTTCAGAAAACATACTTCCTTTTGTAAATTTATATCCCTTATATTTACTGAATGGCTGTATATAAAGTGAATAAGGGTATGATGGTAGTCAAAAAGTATTTTATGTTTAAGTGCATTATGTAAATGGATAATATATATATATATATATATTTAATGCAGCCTTTCCTAACTTGGGTCCATATAAAGATATTGGGACAATTCCCAGATTTCCCAGTCCACGAAACACCACTGGATTGGGGAAGGCTGGCTTAAATATGTCCACATGATAATAGAATGAAATCGATTCAATACTTTTTCTTATCTCAAACTCACAGCAGTACTTTCTGCTTACAATAGAAGTATGTTGGATTTACTTGTCCCTTCGGAAACTTGTGTGAATATTTTTTTTTTCTTAAAAAGAATACAACTTAATTTTTTTTTGTTTCAGTTTGTGGTTTTCTGCCTGTGGTGAAGGTTTCAGATTAATTGGTGGACACTGAATATCTATAATAAGGATATGACATTGCAGCTACCAAGTGTATATGTGTACTAACATTTTACATAAATGCTTTTCAGTAACTACTTACTATTTGAAGAAAATAAGCATTTATTACTATATGTGCATTTATACATATGTTGATATAGCTAAATACAGTTCATGTTGAAAACTTCTAGAATTGAGGGAGAAGTTTTTTAGATAGGGCATGCATTATCTAGCATGCATGCTCCAAATTTGTTTCTTTGTCCTCTTTGAAATGACCTTGAAAACAGATAATAGAATAACAAGAGTTTGAAGGGACTTTGGAGGTCTTTTAGTCCAGATAAAGTGACATAAGCAAAAATAATTCCGTCTATCAAATGTGTGAGGTCCATTAGTCCAGCTATGTGTTTAGGACTAGGGATGAAAAAAAAAACCCATGCTGAGGGGAGGGAGCTCTTTCAATTCTGGGAGAGGGAAATTTTGATGTTGTGGCTACTATACCTTTTTTGACAATAATAATGTCCTTTCTAAATTATGTACTGAAAACAAGCTAAACAAAGAGGATGTGTGTCCTGACAGCACATTTAACATACTTGGAATGTATATTGCCTCAGATTTAATTTGAAACACACAGAGGCATCAATGCACGGGATCATTAATATAGCACTGTCTGTGCTTCATTAAAGCGGCTGCATTTTTTTTTTGTAAAAACAGCTACATGGCTGCTTTAATAGACAGATGCCATAATTACATTCTTATATATTCTGAAATACCTCTCCTATACTGAATCTGAAGCTCCACACAGCCTTAGTATTTTTTAAATAGTGCTCTGAATAGCATATATCCTGCTATATGAAAGAATGAAAAATGTCATGATCCAGTATAATGGGCTTTTTCCCTGCCTTTTCAAATAATTGATTTTCACTAGGAAAAATGGAACATACTGTATTAAATGAAAACTAAGGAGATGAATGTTGATTCTACTATAAAACATTCAAAAGGAAATGGGCAGAGTCTATACAATATAGGAATAAACACACTAAAATACTTTTCACCGAAACATCCTCCAAAACTCTAGAAATCTCTCTTTTGGCTACTGTACAAGCTGTATCTTATATATGTATGAATGCACAGAACACAAATAAGAAAACATTGAAAATCACATTTTAGGAACAATGACTGTGAATCTTTATGTCAAAGTCAGTTATTACATTTCATTTTTAATGTGACTCAGAGTAAAGTACTGAATCCATTTTAGCAAGCCATAATAAAACCTCAAAAATATGCCTATTGTAATTTTATGTTGTGATTTAAAATTACGTTATTTTTTTTTAAAAAAAACACCTCCGTCTGGCAGCCTAAAATAGCTATGACTGCTCAATTTACTGTGATACAAGCATGTGTTTTTCTTGTGTATTTCTTTTAGTTGCATTGTACTAACTAAAGGCACATAGAATTGTACTCTAACAAGAATTTATTGCTTTCTTCCAGTATACTGATAAGTGATAAGTATGTATCTGCTGTGAAGAAACTTAATTTTGCTTAGTGTTAGAGGCCTTATGTATGAAGTGGTTTTTTTAAAAAAATGTCTGTGTTGTTTTAGATTTTTATATTAATATATTATTGGCATTATTAAAATGATATAATGTCCCTTTCTAAAAGACCTGTGATACCAAGTTATGAAATTACAGCCATACTCCCAAGTTTCCTGTAAGTTTCTCCTTCAACGTGTGCCTCCCAATATTTTTTCAAGCAGTGCCCAATCCTTGTCCAGTTTCACAGAAAGGGTACATCATTGTCTTGTTAATCTATATGATCTCAACATATATATGTGTGTTTTTCTTAATGTGACCATAGCTGTACTGAATGTTGCAGTATTCATGTTTATATGTACATGCATAAGAATGCCATCAGATATGTTTGAAGAATGCTGCTGTAAGATTCCCAAGAAATATCAAAGCTTGATTTGATTAAAACTTCTGTAGAATTTTAGTTTTAAAAGGAAAAATTGGCGTTCAAAACTATAAATTAGTACTGTCTTCAGAAACAAATCACTCTAAATTTTCAAAATGGCTTTCTCTGCAAAGATTTCAATGTAATGAATACTTCGATTGCCAAAGAAAATCTGTATTTCAAAATATTTATCAAGGGATAAGGTATAAAATGTTTCAATTATTTATAGCAGCAATGAATATGGTTAATAAATGATCTCAGGATAATTAGAGGAATGTTATCTTTGCATTAATATATGCTATATTTAAGAAGTGAAAGGGCTGTTTTGCCATATTAACTATTGAAAAAAATATATTGAAATTTAGAAAATGTTTATTTATATGAACCTTAAAATCAATCTGTACACATTAAAGCTAATTTTTAATTAAAAATGGAAATGAAACCCCCCTTAAAAGTTAAAATAAAACTATATTTAAAACTATGAGATCAAAATATAAAGAATTAAAATGTTAATAGATCTGTAATGTGCATCAGATGACCAAAGATGAAGGGTAAAATAAACTATAGAAATATCTTAATTATGTTTATGAAAGAGTAATGTTTGTAAATGCATAAATAAATTGTCTACAAATACATCTTATGCCTGAAAATATTTGTGTTCTTAAGATGATGTTGATAAATAATTTTGAGACTAAGCTTTATGTGACTTCCATGTATGGGGTTTTACACATCCTGATTCTGCTTAAGGGAAGATTTTATGTGTACAATTCAGAGTTCCTATTTTATTGGACTAATTCATAAAAAAATAAATTTGAATATGCCATAAGCCTAAGAGAACAAAAAAGAATGAACAAAAGTCAGAAGGAAAAATAGAACATAAATAAAAATTGTGAAGAATTTAGTAACGACAGACAGACAGATAGGGAAAGAACCAGTTCTTTCGTCCTCCCTTCGTCGGGAGCTTCCCGAGGTCTAAACAGTTTGAAAGGCCAAGCAATAACTGGCTCCACATAAGATGCTGACCCACAAATCGAGGTTATTCATTTTCGGGATTCCCCAGCCGAATCAAAGTAGACTAATTAACGGTTAACGTTTGCCAGGTTAGCTCCCTTGGCGCCCAGGCAGCCATTTTTAAAGCTACACCTTCCACCAGGAAAACTACATTTCCCACAAAACTCTTTTCCGCGGACTGGCGAAGCCAGAGTTGCTTCCGGGTCGGAATGAGTACCGCTTCTGGGCTTCCGAGAAATAGTTATGGCGTCGGGGTGCCGGATAGGTCCTTCCATTCTGAACAGCGACCTGGCGGCTCTGGGAGCCGAATGCAGGCGCATGATGGACTGCGGCGCAGACTACCTGCACCTGGATGTAATGGACGGGTAACTCGCACGAGCGCGTGAGACAGGGTCCCTTCCTGGCGGGGGCGGCCGACGCCTGTCATTCGGCTCTCTACCGGAGTACGGTAGATGACGGTCGTGGTGGGCGGGAGGAAAGGGCGAAGAGGTCGCCCTTCTGATTGGCTCTGGGCGGCTTTCCTATTTCTGAATGAACCTTTCCTGGAATAGAACGGAAGGAG